GGGCCTGGTAGTAGGCCGTGCTGGCGACGCTCGGGTAGACGTAGTCCTTGCCGTACTCGCCGGGGAAGGGCAGCTTCTCGCCCCACTCGGCGCTGGACAGGCTGATGCCGCGCCAGGGTGGCCCCTCGGCCGCCGCCCCGGGTCGCGCGAGGGCCAGGCACAGGGCGGCCAGAAGCAGGGCGCGGTTCATGCGGTCTCCTTGGCCGGCGGCGTGACGCCAAGGGCGGCGAGCACGTCCTGGCAGGCGCCCATCGTGTGGTAGTCGGTCTTGCCGGCGGGGCTCTTTTCGTCGGTGAGCTTGTCGTTGGCCGGGCCGAGGATGCGGTACCAGGCGCCATGGCGGTGGTCGACGAAATGCGCCCAGGCGTAGGCCCAGAGCCGGTCGTACCACTGCCAGTAGGTGTCGTCGCCGGTGCGCACGGCCAGCCACGCGGCGGCGGCGAGGCTCTCGGCCTGCACCCAGAAGTACTTGTCGGCGTCGCACACGCCGCCACCTTCGTGTTCCGGGGCAAAGCCATAGACGAGGCCACCGTGGGCAGCGTCCCAGCCCTCGCGCACCGCGGTGTCGAAAAAGTGCCGGGCCGTGGGCAGCAGCCAGGCGGGGGCTGCCGCGCCCAGCCGCCGCTCCAGCATCAGGAGCAGCTTGGCCCACTCGGTGAGGTGGCCGGTCTGGAAGCCCCAGGGCCGGAAGATGTTGGTCTTGTCGTCGCGGTTGTAGTCCCAGTCGGGCGTCCAGTCGGTGTCGTAGTGCTCCCAGACGAGGCCGCCGGCCAGCGACCGCCTGGCGCTGCGCGATCGGACGTCGCCAAGCGCCAGCGCCCGGTCCAGGTAGCGCGACTCGCCGGTGGCGGCGTGCGCCGCCAGCATCGGCCTCGCAGGCATGCATGTTCGCGTTCTGGCCGCGGTAGACACCCAGGCGCCAGTCGGGGGTGGCTTCGTCGGCGTAGAGACGGTGGGCCGGCTCCCAGAATCGCTGCTCCATCAGCTCGAAGGTCGCACCGATGCCCTCGCGCGCACCGGGCACGCCCGCCTCGGCCGCGTGGGCGTGGGCGAGCAGCACGAAGGCCAGGCCGTAGCCATGGTTTGTGCCGTCGAGCACGCGGGCCTGGCCGTCGTGCCAGTCCAGCACCCAGGCGTAGCCGCCGCCGGGCTGGCGGTGGGCGCCGGTCACGAAGGCCAGGGCATGCGCCACATCGGCCACCGGGCCGCCGAACCAGCGCCAGGCCAGCGCATGGTTGAAGACGAAGCGCGTGCTGCTGACCAGGTGGCGCGTGCGGCGGTCGTAGACGGTGCCGTCGTCCTTGAAGAACTGGAAGCAGCCGCCGGACGGGTCCTTCACGCGAGGTGCATAGAAGTCCAGCGTGTGGCGCATGTGGGCCAGCAGGGCGGCGGGCTGGCGCAGGTCGGGGCGGTTCATGGAAGGACCTCCTCTTGCAGGAAGCGGGTCAGTTCGTCCGCCATGCGGGTGTGGACGTCCAGCCGCGGGTGCGCCCAGGCGAACGCCTGCAGCGTGGTCGTCCAGACGCGCGTGTCGCCCTCGGCGCGCAACGTGGCGACCGCGTCGCGCAGGGCTCGCGGGATGGCGGGCTCGTCGCGCCAGGCGGTCATGCCGCCGATCATCAGCACGAGGCGCGCCTGCGGGTAGCGGGCGCGCAATTCGCGCACGAAGGCCAGGTAGCGCGGGCCGAAGTCGGGAGCGATGCGCCGGCCCTTGGAGGCCGGGAAGCCATGGTCGTTCTGGCCGAGGTTGACGATGACGACGTCCGGCGCGCGGTCGTCGGCCACGACGGGTGCATCCAGCCGCGGTGCGAGCCGGTTCCAGACCTGCGGCATCAGCTGCTCGCCCCAGGTGGCGGTGATGCCGATGCCGCTGACCGCGATGCCGACGTAGTCCGCCCCGAGCCGCGCAGCGGTCTGTGCGCCATAGGCCCGCGTGCCGTCGTGGAAGAAGAGGTCGTCGTACTGGTCCTCCCCGGGGTCGCCGAGGCAGGCGCCGGCGGTGATGGAGTCGCCGTAGAACATCAGCCGCAGGCGGCGCGCCGGGGGCGGCGCCAGCAGCCGTG